TGAGCGAGGTGCGGGCGCAACACCGAGGGTTGCGATCCCGTTGCCGGTCCCGGTCCGGTACGGGCGCGACACTGAGGGTTGCGATCCATTGCCGGTCACGAAAAAAGACAAAAAGGAAAAAAAAAAAAAAAGAATAGTATTACTTAACTGTACTTTAGAGATAGAAAAGCAGTAGTCTAAAAGAGACATTAGCTCAGTTGTCTCCTGAATCAGTGGAAGTGGCAGAAACAGAACCCCATCACCCAATTCAAATTAACACAATTCAGTGGACCACACTGCCCTTAACTTAAATTGGTACTCTTCAGCTATAAATATTAGATTCTTATTTCATGAACTTGAGACAAAAGAAAAACTCTAGTGGAAAAGACTTACATAAGTGTGTTTACTCTTTTATAATAACTCTTCAGACCTCATTAATTAATTGGATAGAAAAGACAAGCCTAGAGAAATTATTATTTATAGCCAATATGAAATAATCATAAACAAAGATCTTAAAACTCGTAAACGCACTTATACATACTGGCTTATGTGAAATGATGCTTCAGGCAAGGAATGTGTATTCTCAAAGCCATTCTTAACCTTCAGACTAGAGAAGCAGCATAACATAGTTTGAATTTGAGTTCTGGGTTTGAGCCCTAGCTCTGCCCATACTAACTGGGCCTCTCTGTGTCTCAGTTTCCTCATCTATAAAACAGGAATAGTAACAGTACCAACCCTTATTGGGATTAAGTGAGTTAATATGTAAGGGCTTAATAGAATGCCTGGTATGTAGTAACATTAAACAAATGACTTATTAAGATTCTATACTAGCCCCTGTAAAGAAAGTCTAGAATCAGGAAAGTCTGATGGTTTGTTTACCTAGCTTGTCATAGAAAAGAATTTAGCAAAGCTTATGAAAATGCATCTAAGGCTACATGGATTAAAACTAGAGGCAGAAAAATGCAAGCCACAATGACCTATACATTTTCCATGGGAGATCCTTAAATTTGAATGACCAATATGAAAAAGAAACCTGATCAGGTAAACTATTCAGAGGGGGAGTCAATTACACACCAATGTGCAGGAAAACCCAAACTTGTTAGGAATTTGACAGAGCCTCATAAAGAAAAAAACATATAATGGATTAAACAACGATACTGACAACAAACTGAAAACATCCATATAGGACATTTTCTCATGACGATGTTTACTACAGGCTGATGTATAATTTGGTAAAAGCAATTCTACTAGGGGTTAAATACAATGTAGTAAAGGGACCCAGGTCTCTATTAATCTGGTTTGATTCACAGGTGAATTCCAGATTATCTGTAAGAATAGCGTGACCTTTAAGCAATCCCCCAAACACTTTATCTCCATCAAATTTTGATAAATATTGAGAGATAATGAGACTGAGTTTGAACTCTGATAAGAATCCTAAACACAGTTCTCCTGCGCTGCCTGTTAAATACAAACACATAGGCCTTAGTAAGACATTGGAGATGGATATAGGGTTGGAACTTGTAAAAACAGAGGAAATTACCAAAGACACTTGCCTGAATATTTACAGGTAAGAAGAGAGGGGGCAAGACCAAAATTCTCTTTAGAAATTGTTTTGACAGAATGTGAGTTGCTCCAACCTGTCATTCTATGTGACTACTTAGAATTTAGAATTAAAACATGAGAGTACACAAGAAAAAGAAACTGTTTTGAATTCATCTTAGACATACAAATGGGCTAATCAAGGGTCTAGACATAGGAAGTCTAGAATGCTCAGTTCAATACAGATAATATCAAATAACCATTGTCTTCTTACAGAAATTGCTTCACGCAAAGAAAGATGCTTAAGAAAGTTTTAAAAAAATATTTCAAGGAGCTCTTACAAATAAATTTTAACTAGGTAAAATTCCATGAAAGAGTTTTAAATTTTGATAACATACCATTATAAAGAGATAAAAGAGAGAAAAATGGTAAATTGAATATCTGAATCAGATTACATGTACAGATACACATCTTAAATTTGACAGCCAGCTAAAGCCAGTCTGTTCTCAAATTCAATTAAGAACACTACTAAACCATGATGGACTGATATCATAACATTAATTACTTTAGAAAAAGTAATTATTTTAATTTCCATGGATCTAAAACGGTGATCTTTAAGGCCAGTTTCCACATTCCTGAAATCCAAATCCATCTGATCATCTTTTCTTCTGACCAAAAATATCAAGTAATTCCAAGGACAGCTAAAAATATCAAATAATTCAAGGAAGGAAAATTATCTTCAAAATTATCTCCACCATGAAAATCAATTACATTGTATAATGATGAATATAGTCATTATCCTGATTTGAATATCACATATTGCACACTGGTGTTGATAATTGATGCTCTGCCCCACAGATATGTACAACTATGTCCTAATAAAAAAAAAAGAAATAATAAATATCTGGGGATATGCCAATTAAAAATAATAAATAAAATAAAATAACCCTCAAAAGAAAAGCAACCACTCTAGAAGGTAGTACAATACATGAGACCTTGTTGAGGCATCTACCATTCCTACACGGTACTTTCATCTGAAAGGTGAAATGAAGTCACCCAAAAGGAGGTACTATCAGACTCTGTCATTTTCACATAAGTACGCCCTTCATGAACACTAATTATCATGAAAACTGGAGTCAGCCAACTCATTTAAAGGCCATACAACCAGCTAAAATTCAGTGGAACATGTTAAGAGGCATTATTTCAATATTTTAATAGGATCTAAGGACTGCACCTCTTTCTATTAAAACTTCCCCAAATGAACCTTCTTGCGGAAGTTTCATAATTTCCTACAGTTTGAAACAAGACAGATCAACCCCTTGCTTTTTCCACATTTCTTACCTGTGTTGCCAAACTCAAGACCTGCTGGACCAGCTCCTGTGTTTCTGATGGTTTCTTGAGAAACAGCTTCACTATGGCAGTAAGCAGAGTGAGCTGCACCTAAACAGACATAATTTGATAGATAAAATGAAAGAAAGGCATCCGCATTACTCCCTGCCATCACCTCCAAAGTATTGCTTCCTCAACAATGTATTACTATGGGGCCTTCCTGATTTTGGTTAAGAGACAAAAGGTTAGAACTGAGCCAATATCAACAATAGCAGTCAAAGGAATTCATCTGAAATACAAACGTATTCAACTGAAAACTCACTGCCTCCTATCCTCAAATTGCGTTCTTGGCACCAAAAATTGCTTGTTTGTTTCTGGGCCAGATAATCACCTGTATTTCTTGAAGTACACACTAACATACTGATGGCGATAAACTGGTTCCTGACCAAGTCTTTCATTATTTACTTCTACCAAAAGCTACAGTTTTCGGGGAATTATGGAATCATCTGTCATACTGGGCCAAGAGCCAAGACAGTAAAACTATGTCAGACCATAGCCAATTAGGAGTGGGCTGTTGACCCATAAAGCCACTGGCTCGTATGTGTTCCTTATATTAGGTCTATTAAAATTACTATGGTGGATTACATACATGAAATTCTATTTGCTGTGCATACAAATACAAGGTGGAAAGGGCTTAATAATTTATCTGCATCTCTCAGTCTGTGGCTCTAATTTTGGTAGGGGAGAGGGATAGAAGATGGGAAGGAGTCTAATCTCCCAGAGAATGTTTTCAGACTTCACCACAGCCCCAGGTAAAAAATCTCTGCTGTAATGAGCCACAGCCATTACCAACAGGAATGCATAATCATCCTTAGGTGACTGAAAAATTTTTTAAAAAAGTAATAACTACTGCTCTAAGCCAGTGGTTGTCAAAGGGTGTTTCTGGACCAGCAGCAACAGCAGCAGAATCACCCTGAACCTTGTAAGAAATGCAAACACTTAGGCCCATCTCAGACCTACTGAGTCACACACTCTGGGGTGAGGCCCAGCCACTTATGCTTTAAAAAGTGCTCCAAGTGTTTCTAATGCTCATGAAAGTTTGAGAACCACTGGTCTAAGTTACACAGGTTTGTTACACTAGCAATCAGTACAACTGAAAAGGGTCATCCCTTTTGGGAGAAAAACTAACACACTACATATAAGTGTACACACACACAGACACACACACGAAACTGCCTAACCTTTACTTTCTCGAAAATCTTCCCAAAGAGATCTGGGACATAGGATCGATTAGAACTTACCTGGGTGCTTTCATCATGAAAACCCTCCAGGAAGCTCTCTAGTAACTCATCTGCATTGTCAATTCTTTCAGCATATTCTCCCACAATCCAAATCATGGCTGCTCGAGCATCTGGCTCATCCAGCGAGTCTAAGTTCTCACAGAGAGTGGCAATGATACTTTCATACCTGACATAATGAAATGGACTATGGTTACTAAGGGCAAAACTAAGCACTGTATTTAATAGTGAAGGCTAACGGCAAAACCACGGACAAGGAATTCTAAATCAAACCACCAAAATGAAAGGCTTTAGTCAAGAGACTATATAAGGCTTTAAGTCAGAAGATTATGTCTTAAATTTCCCTTCAATTATATTTTAATAACTAGGCCTTTATAAAACTCATCAGATATTACATTCACAAGGAAAAATTAATCTGTGGAGTAAGATAATACCACTACCTTGTACTTCTAACAATCTTTCCTATAACTAGATCAGAGAATTTTCCTATTATCCCATTTTGCCTTCATGGTAGAGAGGAATGGCTACCCCACTTTATTGTTAGGAAAATGGAGTTAGATAACAACAGTGTCCAGACTAGAAATGGTAACTTTGTCCACCTATCTCTCCTTTTTATAAAAGAGATCTTTATGTTCTTTCTTACCAAGACACCTACACTAATGACTTGCTTCTCCAAAGAAACAAGTAACTCAAATACTTATTTTTATTTTACAGATCTACAGCTCTCTCATGTTTAAAAGGGTGAATCCATCACCTTGGGTAATACATTTTTAAACATCAGAATGACATTGTATAATAAATTAAATGTGGACAACTGAATAGTACACTTAATTGTCTGCCCTATTTTTACTGATTAAACCAGGCTCTTGATTGCATTCTTAGAAGTAAACTTCATAACCCTTTACTGACATAAAGCAGACACATTTTTCTACCAGTCATATTGAGATGTACATCTCCACCCCAATCAAGAAGTTTAGAAAGCCCTCCTCTTTTCTGGGATAATGTTAAAAGTATATGGTCTTCTTTCCAAAAATACCATTTCTAAAATGTTAAAAAGTATATACAATGCTTAATAAAACATTACCTTGCCAAAATATTTCTAATAATTCTTGAGCCCACCACTAAGCTAACACTGCAAGTAACTATCTTTAAAGACTAATCAGAAGCTTCAGCACAAGATATCTCTGATTAGGGCCGAGCCCATGGCGCACTCGGGAGAGTGCGGTGCTGGGAGCGCAGCAGCGCTCTCGCTGCGGGTTCGGATCCTATATGGGGATGGCCCGTGCACTCACTAGCTGAGCGCGTTGCGGTCGGTCTCAAAAAAAAAAAAAATAAATAAATAAAGATATCTCTGATTATAAGACAAAATGAGATTTAAGATAATTATAAGACCTGCTCTAAATAAGAATCTCTCAGATTCTTTAATTGCTTGCTTTCAAAAACAAACCTAAAAAGTATTTTTGCTTTGTAAACCAAGAGGCCTCAATCTGAAAAATTTGTAGAGTGAAAATGTAGATTTGGCATATCTACATTTTAACACTTCAGAAAAGGCCCAAGACTGATAATTCATTATTATATGTTCTGTAATTTTCCACAAAGTAGTAGGTAACATGCAAAGTGAATAGTACAGCTATTACCTTCCTGGCTTTTGGGGTAGGGTGGCCATATGACTTATCATCCAAACTGAGGCATTTCTGACAGGAAAATGTGCACAATCATTACTTACGTCTAGATAACAAGTGTAAACTGACGTTATGCCCAGACAACCTGGAACATATAGGTATCCTATTTAATGGTAATTTTGCCACCAAAGAATCTGGTAATGTTAGCTTTAATATAAGCAAATAGACAGTGAATATACAGGCAGAGCTTTAATTTTTCTAAAAGTAATAATGGAGAGTGAAAATTCAGGTTTCAATCCCTGTGCTAACACTCTATATGTTTGATTTTTAATAAAGTGTCCTAGGGCCGGCCCGGTGGCGCACTGCTACAGTGCGCCGCTTGGGAGCGCGGTGGCTCTCCCGCCGAGGGTTCGGATCCCACATACAGACCGGTTCCTGCTCACTGGCTGAGTGAGGTGTGGGAGCAACGCCGAGGGTTGCGATCCCGTTGCCGGTCCCGGTCCGGTACGGGCGCGACACTGAGGGTTGCGATCCGTTGCCGGACACGAAAAAAGACAAAAAAGGAGAAAAAAATATAAATAAATAAATAAATAAATAAAGTGTCCTATTATGACCAGATACATTTAAAAGAATAATTCTTACCTAGCCAATTCAAAGTGCCTTACTTAAACATTTCCTAAATGATTTAAGGAAGAGGAGTAGAAGTATTTGGACATACTTGTTGGGATATTTGCGGAAGATATCCCTGATGACAACAATTGCCTCTTGGACCACATAATTTACTTTGGTCTGGATTAGATCAAGCAATGTGCTTACACAGCGCTCTGCAGATTGCTGGGAAGAGGAACATAAAAAATGAGAAGTCAGATGATCTATCCAATAATACTACCTCAACATAAAAAAATAAACAATCAGGCAATTAACTTGACCAAGCTATGCTAGAGGCTGGGCTATTTGATGTAGATATACAGAAGTTCTAAATATACCCCAAATTTTACTCATTATAAAATATATTGACAGATAAGTCAATTCAAATTCAGAGAGTCATCTTGGATAGGTGGAAGAATAAAAATCAAAAGAAAGAATAAGCCAGGGTAGGAGGAAAGAATAAGCCAGGGTAAGAGGAAAGAATAAGAATTACAGAATAAGCCAAAGTAGGTCTTCAGCAGTTTATGGATGAGTGGAGACAGCAGTGAGTATCTTTAAATCTTTTGAAATGAAATTGCCAAATTCTGTATGAGCATACAAAGCATATTTTCCAGAGAGAGGATCCACAGCTTTTATTATATTTTCAGTTATCCGTGACCCAAAAAACTCTAAGAACTATAGTAGTAGTATGGGTCACCCCATTATTTGCGCTTGAGAGATGGAATAGGAAGTACACTGTATCACCTAAGAGGTATTCTTCCCAAAATCTCAATAATAATATTCACAAGCCTTTAGATTTAATCATCTATAGGGGATGGAGGAACGAAATAAACAGCATCACTAAGATATAATCAGCCACATCCAGACTCTGGGAAATTCTACAAAGCCTAATGACCAAGTTGCACTAAAATAAGTAAGAAGACTTAAGAGACATATTAACCAAATGCAATATGTGGACCTTATTTAGATTTTGATTTGAAGAAGCCAACTGTAAAAAGACATTTTGACATAATTACAGAAAATTTAACATGGACTGGTATTCAACAAGATTAAGCCCCTTGAAGGAAGAGGGAGAGGGAGAAAACAAAACAGGAACAGCAATGTGTTGACATTTGCTCAAGATGGATGATGGATACACAGAGCTCATTACTCAATTTTACTTTGTCGTATGCCTGAAAATTTCTGTAATAAAATCTTTTAAATGTACTATAGTAATTTAAACTACTATAAGCAATTTAATAAAAACAAAATTGCATCTTGAGGTCATTTAGTTGAGGTCATATATATTATAATTCTGTTACACAATGAAATGATTCTGCAATTTTTTATATATTTTTGTCCATTTTCTGATTCAATTTCCTCTATTTTATTCATTTTCAACCAGTAATTCCTGTGCTGTTATTGAAACAAAACAGTTGGAAAATTTAAATATATGTTACAATAAATTATAAAGTTTATAGGATATGGGCTGCTATAAGGATTGAATTATCACAAATTAAATAAATAAGTGCTTAGCACAGGGCTTGATATAAAGCTAATGTTTAATGAATCCTTGGTATCATTATTGTAATGAAGACAAAGAAAAAGCTGTTTCCCATGATGCATCAACATTTGAAAAACACTTATGTCTGGGATGTCAATTTTCAAGCAAATTGTTCTCAACCGTTTTGCTTTTGATAAAAACAAAAAACTAACATTAAAGCAGTATGGCAGAAGAAGAAGAATAAACATCCAATTACTGTATATACAGAAAAGTCTAGAAACAGAAACACACACATAAAATTTGGTATATGATAAAGACAACATTTCAAAACAATAAAGAAACGATGACTTATTCTGGTGTTTGATCCACCCCACTCATAACTGTCGCCAAAATTATTTCCAGATTGATTAAAATTATCTTTAAACATAAAAACAAAATCATTGCCATAAAAGTAGAAAATAAATTTGAATTTTATATAATTGTGAGGTGAAGTGCAATTTTCTAGGTTTGCCACTGAGAAAAAAACTGATGGAACTCACTAGAAAAGAAAATCTAAACCTCTGTGCATCAAGAAATCAAATGAAATCAAAAGGAAATCAAATAAAGAAAATAAATGCTAACTAAAACAAAGGTTAATATCCTTAATTATAAAGAACTTAAAAAAATCAATGTGGAAAAGCTAACATAGTGGGAAAGGGTGAACAGGACATGAACAAGCAATTCCTAAATGGCTAATAAGCATAATAAAAAAAATGTTTACATCAACTGGAGTTCAAAGATTTGGCTACAAGGATACTCCTTATACCATTATTTGGAAAAAGAGTAAAACAACTTCAAGGTCCTCCGAAAAGGGAAAAGCTAAATAAATTATGAAAGAATCATACATTATATCTATAAACTAAACTGGAAACTAAAAATGATGTAAAATTTTATTAGTACCATGGAAAGATGTCTGTGATGTAGGAAGTAAAAAAAACAAACTACAAAATTATATAAATAGCATTTGCAGTATGATCTCACTTTTGCAAAAAATATACCTGTGTATGGAGGACTGTATAAACAAGGATTTAAAAATCATATCTACCAATCACTTCTCAATTAAAAAATTATATGTAGACATGTGCAACCATCACTTTACAATACTCCAGGATAATTAAATTCAAACTGCAGAAACAAAACAAAAATTGTAATTCACATCCTCAGATATTCAAGAAGCTACTGCAACCACAAAAAAGGAATGCTATGCAAAAGGTACCAAGAACACGACACAGCAACGAAGGTAACACTGTATGGAACAATATGCAGAGGCCAAGAAAGCATCTGGCCAGACTGGAGCAAGCAAGAAGACCGAGAACTGAAAGAGAGAAGACCGAGGACTGGAAGACAGAAGGGTCTAGGACAAAAGGAGGTTTACAGATTTGATATGCTTGAGAAGTTGGAAGAAGATAGGGGTGCAATGAAGACACAAATCCAAGAAAAAGAGAAAAAAGAACTGCAGAAAAAACACAAAGCCTCTATAAGAAAGAAAATATAATCATTTGTATTGCACTGGCCCTACACATTCATATAGCCATAATAATATGCATAAGTTTTGCATGCCTATAGTTGGTAGGACAAGAAATAAAGGCATATTATCTCAATTTACCAAGATAATTGACAAAGGAACAAAAAAACCTCATGATATAACTACACTGGAAAATAGAAGAGAGAAGTGGGAATGGTGGGATATATGAACTAAGTTTCGTATAGCAGTAAGTTAATAGACAAAGTCTATAATTGGTAAATCAATAAATAACAGCATAAGAATATTATTTAGAGATAAGGAAGTAATTAAAAGAACAACTAAAACCAAGAACAGAGTTAAAAATTATTCTCTCTGGGAAGAGGGTCTAGGTAGGGAAGGGAGGAACCAGGGACAGCTGCTTTTCATTGAAAATTCCCTAATATTTTAACTATGAGCTTTATTACTTTGATAAACTTAAAAACAAAAGAATAACTAAAACCAAGAACAGAGTTAAAAATTATTCTCTCTGGGAAGAGGGTCTAGGTAGGGAAGGGAGGAACCAGGGACAGCTGTTTTTCATTGAAAATTCCCTAATATTTTAACTATGAGCTTTATTACTTTGATAAACTTAAAAATGTATTTTAAAAAAAGGAGTGAAGGGAACAATCAGAATCCCATAATATGTGATTACAACTACTATTAGACACTTGCCTCCACTTTGATGGCACACCGTCCAATGGCCCGCACAGCTTTGCGAACAAAGTCTACATCTACCTCTGTGGCATATTCCTTCAGTTCTGCCAGAACCTGTTAAAAATCCAGAAGTGAATGATCATTAAGGATTCTCAAACAAAACAAAACAAAAAAAGAAAAGAAAATCAGAAGAAAAAAACAGAGGGAAAAAAAGGGATTCTCAAACAGCAATCTCATGGCTTAGCTTCTTCTGAGGGCCAGGCCTTAAAGATCTAAATCATCATAAACTTGAATTTGCTTAAAGTCTGACCTGAGCAATGTTGGCTTGGGATGCCAAACGAATCATGATGTCCAACTTCTCTAGTTTAACATAGATGGGATCATTGTACTTCACAAAGAAGACTTTGATTTCCTGCTTCAAGATTTCAGGCCTGTGGTACAAAGAAACACAAGAAAGGAAGGTGAAGGCATATACTGATATATCCTTGAGTCTGTATTAATAGCTAATCTGTGCCTCTTTGCCCTCAACCTACTTCTCCCAGGAAAAAAAAACTTCTTCTATACCCCTCTATTCTTATCCGTTCCATGTGGCAGACTATTTTATCCTTTTTAAGCAACAAAGTACATGCTGCCATGAAGAACTGCTAGAAGATCAATAATCTGGCTTTAAACTATAGCCTGAACCATATCAAGCAGGCACTAGATAGTACCTATATATCAGAAAGAGATCCTTCAGAAAACAAACTGGATTACAGAGCAACACAGGCACTTACTACAAGAACACTCAAACATCAACTACTAGTCTCCTGATCCTGGGCAAGTTGCTCTGTCATATAACATTTTCATTTTCATATACTAAAAAGAGATTAACACTGGCTTACTTAACATTGATGTTATTAAGCTTAATTCAAAATTACAAACACTTAAATCACCAATTCACTATTTCCAAACCTTTTCTGGACAATTAGATTGATGTTCCTCAGGGCGACATACTGCACTTCTGGCTCCCCAGACAGCAAAGTGACAAGTGGAGGAGCTAACTTCTTCAGCAGCATATTGTAGTAGTCAGAGTCCTTGGGTAACAACTCTAGAAATTTCATTAGGACTTTTACAGCTGAAAGCACCACTGCTGAGTTGGCATGGGATAGCCGGGGAGTTACCCGCTCACAGATGCTGAGGGCAGAAAAGGAAAATTTTTATCTTGAATTATAATTTCTTTTTTCAATCCATTGTGTAAGGTAATGTGTCAGAGTCCCATGGCCAAAGTATCAAGAAATTAAAGAATCAGTTAGAAAAGTCAAAGCTCCATGCTTAGTAAAATTGGGATCCAACACTGCAGAAGCTTCATTCCCAGCAAACTACAGGCACAGCAGGGATATCAGAAGACTTTAGGAAACCAGCAACAAGGGATGTTCAAACTGGAAGGAAACTAGCAATACCCCAAACACTTGAGCTCACACAATTTACCTTCTTGTTTTATAGTCCTCTTTGTCTCCCCATATTATGTTAGGGCTCCCTGCCTCACAGCCCATTTCTACTCAACCTATAGGAAGTCAAATTAAGCATTCTGAGAGTTATTTCACAGTGAGAGATAATCAACCCACCTGTGATTGACTGTTTCATTGTAAGATACAGGAGGGGGTGGGTTGGCAGGGAAACTACCCAACCTCCTGCCTTCAGGATAATAATGGAATCTCTGAAAGGAGTTTGTTTGTTTTTAAATATCAGAACACCACTGCAATATTCTCCCTACTTCTTCCCTTTCTCCTAGCCCCTTCCACCTACATGCCTCAGGAAATTTTAGATATGTAATAATCTGTTGAACACTCTTAAGAAATAACCTAATTTTGATAGCTCTTGGGCAACATGAGTAGCTAGCTTACTACATTAAGTAAAGGAAGCAAGATAAACAGGCTGTGTTTCTCTCTCTCCTTCCTATATCTACTTGGCTGACTCCCTGACCTCCTCCAGGTCTTTCTATAAATGCTACCTGCTTAGTGTGGCCTTCCCTGACCCCCCATTTTAAAAAACACAACCCCTCAACCTCAAATGCTCAGCACTTCTTAGCTTTCTTCCCTACTTTATCTTTCTCATTAGCACTTCTCATCATCTGACATATTTTATATATTGTATTTCATATACATATGATATATACTCCTACCCCCACCCCTCAGAATAAGTGCTCCATGAGGGCCATGGTTTTTGTCTGTCCATTGCTCTATCCTCAGGGCCTAGAACAATGCCTGGAATGCAGCATGGGCTCAATAAATATTTGCTGAGTGAATGAATGAATGAATGAATGTGAGATGTCAATGAAACAAAAAATAAAATTTTAGGTACAGTTCTTTCCAGAATATATTTGTACTTTCAACGATGGAAAGAAACTATTGGGGTGAGTTTTAGTTAAGTCCAGAGGGAACAATTTCCCAGACAAGTGAGATGTCAATGAAACAAAAAATAAAATTTTAGGTACAGTTCTTTCCAGAATATATTTGTACTTTCAATGATGGAAAGAAACTATTGGGGTGAGTTTTAGTTAAGTCCAGAGGGAACAATTTCCCAGACAAGTGAAGAGCACTTACATTCTAGTAGCTTGGAAATCAGCTTCAGCCAGGCAAGGAAGGTTCTTATCTACCATAATTAAAATATGTCAACTTTAATGAAGAGCCAACATTTCTTCAGAAGAACTTTGCCTAGTACAGTGCCTATATACACAAAATGCTCAATAAAAATTGGTAATAATTCCAACTTTGTAAACTAAAATGTGTGTATGTGTAGATGAAATTTAGCAGCCAATTTCTGATATTCACAGAAAACGTGCAACACTAAGGTGGTAAAGGGCTACGCAGAACAATCTAGGCATACCTTCCAAAATCTTCTCCAAATTCAGACTGATGTGATTTCTATTCTAATGGGAAGCAGCACATATTTGCTGAGTCTAACATACTTTCTCTAGTACTGAATTATAAGTACAGTTCAGCTCAGTAACTAGTATGAAGCCACTTACTCTGTATCTAATAGAATGAAAAGTTTGTCACCATAGAGAGATACACAATAACCTTTTGTTTGCCAAATGGCCAGGAAAGGCCGAATGGAAGATGTGAAACGACGATAAGGGAAGATCTTAGCAGAAGAAACTGTACCTAGTGTTCAAATAAGAAATGAAAAACATACATTTCTTAGACAGAGCGCGGTGCGGACGACACCACGCCAAGGGTTATGATCCCCTTACTAGTCACAAAAAAAAAAAAAAGAAAAGAAAAGAAAGAGCTATTTTTTGCGTTGCTTGCTCAGCCACCTAAAATGTTCCTAAATCCAGTGAGAAAATACCTTGGGGATAGCAATATCTACCCCACAAGCAACTGACCTTCCTCAACATAACAGACCCTTATTCTCATAGCAGACACTATAACTTATTGAATCAGGCAAGATTCCCAAATACTATTCAGAAAACAGACTGACCTCTGAGCCTCCCGGTCATCTTTAGGGTTGTAATTAGACAGGCAGTCCAGAATGAAAATCTGGCCCCACTCGGTGCACTCATTCAGGGCTGTCAGCAGCTTATTGATGTTCTGTGGGTTTAGATCGAGTAAGTTGCTGTTTGGGTGAGATTCACTTATTTCAGATAACGCTGCTACAGCATTAGCTACCACCTAGGAAAGAAGCAGATATGATCTTGATTAGCCAAGAACAGTACAACTATAGACAAACACTTAACATTCTCTGGATCACTTCACAGATCTCAACCCATAACCGTTCCTGAACCTTTTCCCTAGTCAGATAGAAACGGATAAACTGCTTTCAAAACCACATTAAACCACCAATGACAGCATATATAGCTTCCTAGTGGCCAGGCAACCCAGAATTAAAACAATTCATATGTTAGCAGAGTCACATATGATTTACTATTAAAACATAAATTAACTATTTTAATAGTATTCAAAACTATCAATAATACCAAGACAAATGAACAGCTATAAAAATAGCAAAGTCTAAATGTAAAATATGTACATTAGGCAAAAGAAAGAAAAATCTAGGACAAATAATTTTACAGGTGTATAGGTGTGTATGTATGGGGGTGGGGGAAGTGACACTGTCAATCATATCACGAGTCTTAGAGTAAGAATATGTGGGCATGAGACCTTAGTTCACTAGTATACAATGCTGAGAGAACATATAATCTCTGTGAAATTCAGTTTCCTCATCTGAAAACTGGGAATAATTTAATCCACCTCACATGTTAGTTTTAGTTTGAGGATAAAATCAGATGACATACATATAAGTACTTTCTACAAAGCCTTATGCAAATTTAGGGTGGTTGGTTACATTACCATAATTCATCAAGTGTAAGTTGCATAGTTTTTTACATAAACATCTCTGAAATTGATATGCATTTAACAATCAATGGCTTGTCAGTTTAATAGGAAGCCTTCCAGGTAATACAGAAAATAATAACGTATTTTATAATCAATGGCATTGATGATTCAATTAAATAAGGTATTTGAAATGTATCCTTCTTTCAGGCAGTATGGTAAATGAAAAGTTGCTGTCTTTGACAAGAAAGTATACTTGTATCCTGACTAACAGATCTGGGAATCCATTTAGCTGCAGAAGAAAAGTCAACACTTTTTATCAAAATCACAGATTATTTCTTTTTTTTTTTTTTTTGTCTTTTGTCTTTTTCCGTGTCCGGCAACGGATCGCAACCCTCAGTGTTGCCCCCGCACCGGACCAGAACAGATTATTTCTAATGTAACTAACGAATCTACAACCAATGAACATTTAATGTCATTTGAAAACTGCAAAACACTCAAACACAGAAATACTATACTATGGCCCTGTACAAGTGTGTTTAAAACCATGTCTTGTGGCTGGCTGGTTAATTCACTCAGTAGAGTGTAGTGCTAGCACCAAGGTCAAGAGTTCTGATCTTGCACTCGACAGCTGCCAAAAACAAACAAACAAACAAACAAACAAACAAACACCATGTTTTGCAGTTAGGCTCCCAGTTATTACTAAAGATTAGCAAAGTGAGGCTGAAGATAAATATTCTAAGTATAAATGAGATGTGATATGAGATAGCAGCTTCGGCACTTTCATATATTAAAAAGATTCTAAAAAAAGGCCAATCCATAGTTAGTTTTTTATGACTTCCCTTGCTAAAAGCTTGAGAAACTAAGAGTTGTGTGATTATCTTTTTTGTTAGCAAGAGAAGAAACATAATGGCTGAACATTTTGCTACTGATTTTAGTATCCACATTATCTGGATAGTCTGCAGATTACCCCAGCATATTATTTTACCTAAAAGATAAATGTCTAGAGAATATGGTTTATGTATTTTGCATTTACTAATAATATACTTATGGCAATATTCATTATTATATAAAGGATAATGATGTCACAAATAAAATCATCTCAAATTATAATTTGGTGATCAGAACAAAGATTCTAAGGTGAAAAATCAAAGACTCACTTGGTAAGTATCATAACAGATATAATAGTTTATTGTTATTAAGACAAATCAGGAAGACTTATCTAGCCCACCTATGGGATGATTTAATTTTTGTTTGCTAACTCCATCACCAAGCGGCATTTAGTGAAAACTAAAAGGCATAAAGAGTGAAATAATAATCCCCTCCAAGTGCTTCTCCTGGAAGGAAAAGATATTTTACTGCCCATGCACAATATACTTGACTTACCTTATTGCAGTACAAGGGTCAAAATGTCACACTGGGAGACCAAATGCCTGTTTTGATCTATTACAAGGGTACTTCGAAAAGTTCATGGAAAGATTTGCATTATCTTTTAATTCTGAAGTGCCCTCGTATTGCTGCCAATACATGCCCAGTCTTGGTTACCAGTTGTCCAAAATAAACTTCCTACTACAATTTATCACTTCTGCTAGTCAAACCCTTTTCATGTTGCTGTTGTTGTTGTTTTAAATTAAATATAAGGTCTGGTAATAGGAAATGTAGAAGAAAAGGTGAGAATTGGGGGAATTAAAAAGAGTAATGGGGGGGCTGGCCCAGTGGCGCACTGCTACAGTGCGCTGCTTGGGAAGCGTGGCAGCGCTCCCGCCGAGGGTTCGGATCCCACATACAGACCGGCCACTCACTGGCTGAGCGAGGTGCGGGAGCAACACCAAGGATTGTGATCCTGTTGCCGGTCCCGGCCCGGTACGGGCGCGACACTGAGGGTTGCGATCCGTTGCCGGTCACAAAAAAAGACAAAAAAAAAAAAGAGTAATGGGGAAGAAAGGAAGAGAACAGAAGGATGCTGAAGAGAACGAGCAATTAAAATTCCTGTTATCATCACAGACGACTGGAAATTAAACCAAGTGTATAATGCAGCTAATGAATTATATCTTCTGGTGTTTAAGATAGGCAATTTCCACTATCACATTAAAACAAGAAAGGAAATGGAGAAGACTAAGTCTAACTAAAAGATCCAGAAAAGATCAAATTAGGGGGATTATGTTTAGCAAAGCCTGCACAGAGAAAAGAGACCATTGCCAAATGGTCAAACAGAGGAGACACTATCCCACCTCCCAATACCAAAACTCTACTGTTCCTGTAAAACTCCTGGAAGTCCCTTCCATTCAACCTCTCCACTTTCATCTCCTAATGTTCACATTCAGATTGTCACGTTTTCAGAAACGTAGTGAGGCAGGCCCATAAGGGTGTGCTTTGAGTTCTTCTGGTCAGTAAGCCATATTTCTCTCTCTCTTTAATGGAAACTTAAAATAAGCCATTAACACTGAATCTAAAGTAGACAAAGAAAAAGACTGACTTCAATGCAGCAACTACTGTGGCGAGGGTATACAGGATGACTCACTTGTCAATGTTTATACTGTTTCTTCAGAATTTTGTACTATGTGTATCTATTGTTTATTTTTTTTAAAAAATACTTCAAAAATATTAGATTGAAACTTAAGATTCATTTCCTCTTTTCAAGTCTTCCCCAAGCAATAATACAACATTACAAAAGAACAAATCCAACCCTTGTAGTAACTGTCTTTATTTACTCATGTATTTAAATCAAAGGTATGCCTCTTTTGCTTAAACCACTGCTTTGCTTTCGAACTGTTAAGGCAGCTATGTATAACATCCCCCTCCCCTGAAAATTGGCAATTTTTCTTAGGAAATACTGCCACAAAGAGAACAGCCTTTTAACAATAATCTCAGAAAAATTAGAGTTTTCAAGAAAAAAAGGGGTTTCTAAAGAAAGTTTTGCCTTAGAAATGATTTAGAAATAGGGTTTCTTAAGTGAGCTTTCTCAGTACAAGAGTTGATTTATAAAAAGTTGGCATCTAAGTTACAAAGCAACACATCTGCAACATTTAAAAAAAAAAAAACAAAAAAAACCCCATTTTATTCACCTTGCTTCCCAATTATGATAATTTCTGTTCTTGGGAGTTAAGTTCTCGGTAGACTGCAACTAAACATTCCCCAGCCTTCATCCTCCATAGATATAATGCAATCTGTATACTTTACAGATACAGATATTAAACACAAACACATATGCACTTACATATATACAAAAATCACACTCAATCCTAGACAAATCTTTCTCTGCCTTAACTATAGATTTCTCTTCAATGTGACAGTTCCTTACTGACCCATCAAGTCTGCTGAAGTTTATTTTTAGATAGGCAATTTGTATTTTTTTTTTTTTTTTGTCTTTTTGTCTTTTTCCGTGTCCGGCAACGGATCGCAACCCTCAGTGCTGCCCCCGCACCGGACCAGGGACCGGCAACGGGACCGCAACCCTCGGCGTTGCCCCCGCGCCTCACTCAGCCAGTGAGCGGGAACCGGTCTGTTTGTGGGATCCGAACCCTCGGGCGGGAGCGCCGCCGCGCTTCCCAAGCGGCGCACTTATCCAGTGCGCCACCAGGCCGGCCCGGCAATTTGTATTTTGACTTACTTTATATTATACCTAATAGAGTGAGCTGTACAAAGAGATAAAAGACTATAATACCTAGAATTTATTGAACACTTACTGTGTGTCATTAATCCTTATAACAACTCTAAGGTAGCAGCTACTAAAATCCAACTATCACAGATAAGGAAATAGGTTTAGAGAAGTTCAGTGACTTGCTTAGAGTCAACAGCCAGAAAAGGATAGTACAGGAATTTGAACTCAAATCTGTGTCTCAAGTCCTGGTTATCCTGTTTCCAGCATTTATACAAGTCCCAAGACCTGTAAACTTGAACTGGGAGAAAGGGAGAAAAGAATCAAGAGTGGCAAGAAAATACTATAATCAAAACATTATTTCTATGCAAAGCTGACGTGAAGATTTATACAAGGAGAGAAATATATTACTCTTTTCAAATATTTCAAAGATAATCAAATCCTGACAGAACTTAAAGAGGCAAGATTTACCACTCAGCTATAAAATCTGATTTATAAGCTGCACCTTTATAAAAAGCAATTCTGAGGACATAAATTTCACTTTTTTTTAAAAAAAAGAGTGAGCTGAAAGGGTAAGTATGGTTAGAATAAAGATGATCCTGTAAAAAAAAAAGAGCTCTAGATGAAAATCTAGATATACTCTGTGAGTGGAATATCATAGACAGAAGTTCCTTTATGAGAAATCTCTCACACATTTCCCTGTCCCTTAGAATAATTTTCATCCTGTACTCTAATTTCACTC